AATATAGGGAACGACTTCTCTTATGATACTGCAAAAATAAAATGTGAATATTTCTGAAACACTTCTGATGGATACTGATGGTTCAGAAACTATTAGTAAATACAGCTTTGAATGTCACCTAATGGTTTCAGTGAGCCTGTTACTTAGATTAACTTTTTATTTTTAAATTGGATTGTGGTGAAAAAATAGAACATTAAGATAGGAAGTATTTTTAAAAATATATTCCTCTGTGGTTTTGCAATTTCTTCTATATGTATAATGTTTTAAATCATGGAACAAAATTATTATATGTAAATGCCTTCTATTGAGAATAGAATTTATTTCTTTGTCAGTCATATATGTATACACAGAAGTGTGAATCATTTCTAGTGCCTTCATAGATCTCTATATATAGACATGTATGTTTAGTTCTGTTGTGTTGCAAATGTAAAAATATATAGACTTATGAGGAAAACTGGAATGCAAACCTAGGGACAAACAAGCGTTTATATAACAACTTTCACAGAAACCAAAACCTCCTGGTTTATAGAAAAGAGAAAGTTAGTTTTAAGTAGGTTGTGTTTTGGGTTTGTTTTTTTTTGGGGGGGGGGGTTGGGTGTGTGTGTGTGGGTGTTAGGTTTTGTTTTGTTTTACATATGAAGAAACCAATTAACCTTCTGAAAAAAAAAAAACTGTAGGCCATTTAGATTTTTTTGGAGTTGTTTGAAGTTTGAATTTTCTCCTCCACTGCATTTTAATCTCATTTCTAATCCCTTAGACCCCTTGATCAGTTCCTTAATGGCTTGAATTTGTTGCAAACACCTTGGTATTTTTGTTTTTATTTTTTATAAAAAGTCGTATCTAATGCATGAAAATGTGAAAAGATATTAAGAAATCCCAACGAGTTCTTTGACACTACGGAGTCACTTCTAATTTTAGCAGAGGGAAAATCTTTCCAGAAAGAGACATGTAATAATAGTACACTTTCCTTTGCTTTCTTCTTTTTAATACTGTTAATGTTCATGTGTTTTGCTGTCATGGCTTCTTAGTAACTATGATTAGTTAGCAATAGGATTTTTCTCAGCTTAACTCAGTTCTGATGTGTGAGAAGCTGTATGACAGATGATGTGATGTGGGAAGGAAAGCTTGCCCAACTTGTTGAGGTCATATGACAGATGCATGTTGAGTACAGTCAGACGATGGGATGGTGGAGAGGCTATCCTGCTGCAGGCTGCTGCATGGGTGTCTGTCT